GCTGTGCTGGGATGCATTTTACAAGCCACTGAGTGGCATGAATTCACACCTGGCCTAACACTACTCCCATAGAATAAAACAAGCTCAAACCAATATGACCGGGTACAGGAACTCCACTGAGTGACACAGGGCTCCTGGTCTTCTCCAATTAAATAACCCCCCCCCCCCATTTTCAGTTAAAAAAAAAAAATCGAATTCAAACCAATGTGGCAAGACAGAACCAATATGTGCTGGGCAACTAGAAGTGTGGAGGTGGGGGTAGCAGAGAAACAGAGAGGGGTGCTGCTTACCACCCACACACACCTCTCTCAAGGTGACCTGGGAAAGAAGAAAACAGAATAAATAGAAAAATAACTGCCAAAATTATTAATGGGAGAGATTAAGACCTGAAACACTCTGGCTGGCCCAAGCTGCCAAGAATAGCTTTAGCAGGTATTGTGTGAGCCAAGGGAGAGCGTGGAGGGTATTATTAGCAGAGGCCACAGGAGGCTGCCCAGTTTGCTGGAGCACTATTGTAATGCTTTGCTATAAAGACAGTTTGGCAAAGGGACAGCATCCTGCTCTACATCCAGAGAGCAGGGTGGGATGTGCTCATTCACCATGTTTGTTTCTCAGCACTGAAGAGCTCATCCGAGTGCCTGTTCTGTGAATACTAGCACCAACTCCCCCAGCCTCCGGACAGACAAAAGTAGAACTGTGTACTACTTTATTACAACTAGGGGCAGTTAGAGAAACCAAGATCAATGGACTCTGGAAAAGGCCAGAGGTAGCAGGATTGCCTTGTAACAGGTCAGACAGTTACTTGGGACAGTCACCACACCCCGTTGTCTTGCAAAGTACCACAAGGTGACATGGAAACTCCTCCTTATTGAAATGCAGTCTGATGCCCTCTTATCCCCTACCTGCAACTGGTAAACAGAGGCAGTTCAACAAGTGACTTGTCCAAGGTCATTCAGGAAGATACAGCAACCACAGTGCAACCCACGCACTGGTATCATGGCATTTCTCCTCTATGCATCGACTTGGCTGGGTTGAAGGATTCTTTAGGTCTGGAAACGAAGCTGCCTGTTAGAAGGACTGCTTCGCCCCAAACTCCTGTTCTTCTCTCATGTTTTCCGGAACAGCAGCAAACTTCTTTTAAAGCAGAATCGGATGCAATGAGCTGGATAATTGTGGACTGGCTCCTCCTGGGCTGGATCCATGGGGTGGGTTGTCTCAGCCAGATGGCAGTGTGCATCTGGAGGCACGTGGCAGTGTGTGGGTGGGTGGATTTGCTTGGCACAGCTTACCCCTGTTGGAAGCTTCTGCAGGGAGTGGAGAGCAGCCTGAAGTTGAATTCACCCCCAAGTAGAGGCCAAGCTGACTCCCCACACTGAACCAGCCACATCCTCAGCCCCAGAGCCCCCAGCAGAGTACAAGACTGCAGCCACTTTGTAACACTGCTACCTCCTCACTTCCACCCAGTGAGCTTTCTACCGGCCAGTGCCAACAGCAGCTAATCTGCACTTGACCTGGGGTTTAAATCTAGGCCAGTTCATTTTTTTGTGGTATTATTGTTTATGATGGCTTTCTGCAAGGGCCCTTTTTTTTTTTTTTTTTTCCTTAATTCTTCTAGGAAATGCAGCTTCAGTGCTTCTGCCTCCAGTAAGATCTGAAATTGCTATTCGTTGCAATTTCCCCAAGGACAAAACCACCACAAAAACTCAGCCTACGGAGAAGTGAGCATCACCGACCTCAGAATGTTTCTTTAGGATCAGATCTGCCAGGGTTCTTCCAGGTTATTTGCTTCCCTGTCTAGGGACTGCTCTGAAAAACAACCAATGTAACCAGCCAGTCCATAGCAAGAATCAGCCCCGCCTCCTGTTCCTCCCATCGGGACTTGGACCGGAGACTGGCTGTTTTCAGCAGCCAATCTATTATCCTCATTACATCAAGCCATAGTATCCCTGTTTCCCTGGTAACCTAACAAAGCCCTGGCAAGATAGAGCACCCCTACAAGCAGCCAGGCTCAATGATATCTATATTCCCACTTAAACCTGGAGCAAGGATTCATTTAATCAAGCGATTAGAGTGCTCCTTTTTTATCTGTATCAGTGAACAAATACCACAATCAATGCTATATAAACACCTCAGAGAGAAAGATTTGCACACACTTGCAATTATACACACAGCCACCAATGAATTGGATTCCAAGTCTAAGTTAAACTAGTCAATCCCTATTAAAGGCAGAGACATTATTCCAGATTTTCCACCACTGGAAGATGAACATTTGGTCCTCTCACGTGCATACACATATCCCTAATTACCTGTAGATTTCAGGAAGGTCATGGGGCATCTCTATCTCTATCAAAAAGTAAGATGGTAGCCTGTATCCACTAAGTTACTGTAAGGATGAGTAGCCTATGGAATTGGTTGCCACCAGAAATCCTAGGTCCAAGACATAAATGGGACAGAGGGAAAGATGGTGGGAGGGAGGAGTGGATAGAAGATTGGGGGTCTGGAAGCCAAGCTGGGAGACTGTCAGAAGCCATGCTCCAACTCTTACCTCTATACATGCCGAAGTAACCTTCTGACCGGATTGTCTTAATGAGACAGTCAGACCTGCAACAAAGAGATATACGTAATCTCCAAGAGCTCAAAAGGTGGTGGTGCTGAGAGAAGAGCAAACACAAAAACTTGATTTTCATTTTTAGGTTGTTAGCAAAACTCAGAGTAGAGAAGGGAACAGCATGAGCCACTGAATCTGGGTCATTGTTAGGGCTTCCATAGCTCTACTGTACCTGGTTCACAGTGACTTTGAAGCAGTGACTCACCTTGTGCACAGAAAGTCAGTTTTCTAAACCAGAGGGAGACAGGAGCCTAAAATACAACACACGAGATGCTCTAATGACCACTGCTGCTTGAGGAAAGGAAATAGAGCTCACTTTTAAACCTCAATGGTTTGCACAGTGCTAACTGTGTTCTATCACTTTAAAAGACTTAATTTCCTGTACTTTTAGAATAGTTTAACAAATGGAAAGTTACCTACGGCCCAGTCTAAGCCTCACTTAAAACAGCGAGAGACTGCTGTGGTCTTCAATGGGCTTGGCCTCAGGTCCTTACACATGCATCAACAGCTTCAGCTGAAGTACTGAAGTCAATGGGTGTCTGGCAGCTTGCTTGAATAGGCACCAAGTAGATATCAGGGAACTGAAAAGTGCCACCCCTTAGTGTAATCTTACGTCATCAAACCAGCCTCAAGGAGTGCGTGGAGCATGTACAAAACATTCATATGTGCACATGCACATGTATTCACATATGTCTAGAAAGTAGCTATATTCCCAGTCCAGAGAAGGGAGCACAGGAAGCCAATGCACATTTTACTGCCAGGGTTGAATTAAATTAGACTGTGCAAGTAGGATGCATGTTGACTAAGGGCTGCTCCTTGGCTTAACAAAAGGGACTGGTGCTTGCGCATCAGCAATGGGAGGGGGAAGGATAGAGAAGGGAAGGGGAGACAAAGTGTGCTGTATGTGTGTATGCACATCTACATGTGTATACACATGTGCAGTTCATTGGGAAAGAGCACTGTTAAGTACCAGTAGTACTAAAGGACATGTAGCTTATTAAACCAAGCATAAGCCTCAGAGAAGCCCAGTAACTGTAGGCAGTGGGTCCCAAACGGTGTTCTGCAAGACTATACTATGGGGTCTACTGCTAGTCCATGGATTGCATTGAGCACCCCTTCTCATTTAAAAGTTTGATAAGGTGCAAGAGGTTTCAGAGATATTTAGATAAATGACAGTGATCATTTCAGGATGGGAGCTGCTGATTTAAGGAGATCTTAATCTCTTCCTCTCGGCGGAGGTGTCGAGGAACCAAACAAGAACAAAGACAGATTCTCCTCAGACACGAAGGCACTTGCATGACACACCACAGCCTACTGTCTCTCCCAACAAAGTGAGGAAAAAGGAGCCATAGCTAATTAAAATAATGAGGAACAATAGGTCCTAGTGTACAGTAGCATCAAAAACACAGATCTCTTCAGCTTTCAGAAGCCACTGAAGCCAAGGGGCTTTTGCTTTTAAAAATACATCAACTAACCAGTCCGCTTCAAAGTCCTCACTCAAGCAGCAGCTCTTGCGATTCAAAGAGAAGGCAAGGCAACAGGCAACAAGGTAGCCACAGCTTTAAGGCTAGTCAAATGAATTTGGTAGGAGTCCATGTACTAGTTTCCAATTGAAAGTTCAGGGCTCAGTTCAGAGCATGGGTGCTCAACACTTTGAGCAAATCACTTTTTGTAACATGTTAAAGTACCCAAAAGTACTGGTCACTTAAAAGGTTAGGGCTCTGTCCTGCAGTCTACACACAGAAGACTTGCTAGTGGTAGCAACCTTTTAATGTCTTTAAAGCATTCTTGTCCTGGCCTGTTTGCACTGGACAGAGGGCTGACAGGTGTCATCTCTTAGTGGGATAACTGAGCACGAGACAGACCTCTCCCTTTCTGATCCTCATATTCAGGGGCTTTCCAGTTCAATCTTGAAAAAGCCTTCCTTTGACCTTGATGCTCCCCTGGCTGTTCAAATCTCAGTCAGATGCCAACAGTGTTGCAAAGCCTTATTTTAATATGTAAATGTTACCTATTCCTTTGCTAAGAGCCAGAGGTGCTGTCTGAAAAGAGATTGCAGGAATAAACTAACCAGCAGCTCCTCCTCATTCCTTACGTGACCGGTCACGCAACTGGCCACACTTCCATACTGTCTTGGTGTGGGGCCGTAGTAGACAACCAGACACAATAACAGCCTTCTTCCCTCAAAATCTGTCCCTTCTTAGAACCAGCCTGTTGTGTGTGCTGAAGGGTCAGGATGCACCAGGTCATACATAGCATCTTACGTGCCACAGGACCATCCAGAGGTGCTATATGCAGTTCTGCTGCCTGGCATACACCAGCAGGCAGGTCGGGGAGAAACAAACTGTGGCAGAGACCAGCCTTCCCAGACTGTTGTGCACAAATGGATTCCGTTTACAAGGCACAAAACAAGCCACAGGGTGAGACACAAAGCCACTGCCTGCAATGTGCCTAGACAGACAAACCAGACAAGCCAGAGAGAGCTCTGTGAGCACCCAGGAAACAGCAATCCATTGGATCAGGCCAGGGAATGGAAAACTATGTTATGTGGTTGCCGGATCAGGTGGACACGACAGCACCACAGCTGATGCCCACTCCGCATAGGCAACACCTTTCTCCTTTTGAAGCCATTTAAAATTACACCTGTCCATAGCCCTAGGGTGATGGCTGGGTCCTTGGATCAAGCCAATGACATCACTTGATATCTAAGAGCAAAGGCTGTTCAGGATTGGCTGGGCAAGGCAGTCTGCCTCCAGCCCAAGCTGATAGTACCTGTAACACAAGTTGCTCAGAACCTCCTTTAAGTATGGCTGCAAGGGCAGAAAACTGCTCACAGAAAGGGAGGAAGAGAGACAGGTGAAAGAAACCTGAGCTTCACAGTTTAGTCCCCAGGTTCAGACCCCTTGTGCTCACTGCTAACAATGTCTCCTGGGCTGGTTGATGCAATGTTTCAAGTGCAATTGTAAATGTCAACCATCAGCCTCCCCTGGCAACTAGTGTGTCTTCAAAGAGGCCTCTTTCAACTGCCTCCCAGCAGCCTGCAGCAAGGAGTAGGCAGAGCATGGTTTCCCAAGCCCTCTGTTTCCTCAAGTCATATCCTCTTAATGATACTCACCTTCTCATATGGACAAGTGTAGAAGATGTCAATAAAGCATTACCTTTTTCTCTTTTCTGTCTGCCTTTCTGTAATTTAAGGGTAATTATAACTTCTAAATATCTTGGGTACTGGCACAAGTGACTTTTGTTGCACGACTGGCCCCCTGAACATGCTCTGCAGCCATGCCCCAACAGAAATGCACAGCTGCAGACAGCCTTACAAGTGGCTAATCGCATGACAAATTAACTCTCAGGTAATGAAGGATCAGATGAAGGTGCTCCAAAGTGGAGTGCCTTAAGAAACTTTTGTTAGTCCCTGTGCGGGATCAGGGCTGGGCTGATGCATTTCAGCCCCATCCCAAGGGCTGTCTGCAGGAAGGGAGGGGGAATGCACTGAGGGCTGGGGTTTGCCCAGCCTGAGCTGGAGCAGGGACAGGTGGATTGGAGCCCCCCCAGCCCCCTCTCCCTCCACTTCAGGCTAGGCAAACCCCACACAGCATTGTGCTCCCCCTCCCTCCCTGCAGACAGCACCAGAGTTGTGGGGGGGAGCGGAGGTGGAGGGGCGCTAGAGTAGAGGGGCTGCAGGCAAGATGCTCCTTCACTGGATCAGCTCTGAAGTGGAGCATGATCTGTCCCCCTGCCCTCCCCCCTTTCTGTAAAGTGACATGAGTTAGAGTGAGGAGCTGTACTGCATGTCTGTCAGTGCCCCTTGTTAACTCGGGTGTGATCCACACTCCCCTGAAGACACTGGAAAAATTTCCACTGTCTTTGAATCAGGCCCTACAAATGGCATTTTCACCAAGGTACAGGTCATTTTGCTATCCTTCTCTGTATGATCAACTGAACACGAGAGGACCCATCTTACCCTTACAGCATGCAAGCCTGCTTTCCATTAAAATAGCAGCACAGGTGTGGCCAGTGACATCTTGGGGGAAAACACAAAAATTAAATAACCTCCCCCCCCGGGAATTTAAATACCTGCTATCCTTCTGGGAGCCACACAGATATTATCCAGGGACAGTACTGCACAGTTGCAACACTTTTTAGGCAAAGGTTTTGAAGTCATTAGTTGCAAAGCAATACCCACAGCATTAGATGGTAGGAGGCATAGCTGTGCTAATGGCAGAATGTTAAGATCTGCACTTTTCCTGGTCTGGAATTAAAGTCTACAAGATAGGTTGCACTTTTATTAACAGTTAGTATTACCTGAGCACTGGACAGGTCCCAACCAAGATCATGGTTTAACTGTGCTGTATGGACTCACATTACAGCAAGGGTTATCTAGGAGAAGGCTCAGAAGCTAGCCAGAAAAGCTGCATTGCCTACCCATATATTACAGATGGAAACCCAAGAGAGAGACTATCAAGTAACATTAGTACACTGAGCCTGTAGCAGAGCACTGAACTGAATGAGGAGGAGTCTCAGTCCAGTGCCTTCAGCATGGAGCCATCCTTCTCTTCTGCACTGGTGCAAGACAATACACCATTCATGAGCATGCAAACATTAATCCAGTGCAAGACCCAAGCAGTAACACCCTGGCCTGCTGGCTTTCAGTCAGGACTCCTGCTGCAGCTCCTTTGGAGCCTCTCTCTCTAAAAGCATTTAACTCCTATAAATGGTGGTATTGCCTTAAGGGAGTGGAGGTGAGAAGGATGCAAGGATCCCAGCCCATCCAGGTCAGGAGTCCTGTTTTGACCCACCATTGTGGGCTTTGGCCCGGCAGTACTTACATGCTGGTGTACATCCGCTGGCCATTCTGCTGGTTCTGTAGGCGCGTTTTTGCCAAATCAATGGGAAACACACAGGTGACCCCGATGAGCCCAGCTATCCCTCCATTGATCAGCTTGGCAGGTAAACTGCAAGGAATAAGCAAGAGACAGGTCTCTGCAATGGGAATTTAAGTCAAAGAGGGGACGAGAACCTGGAACAGAAAGCTGGACCCTGAGAACACAAGCACCCTGTGCCCTGAGGCAGGAATATCCATGCAAGGCACTCAAGAGCTTCTGCCAGGTATACCATTTATCCCAGTTCTACAGATGGGAAAACTAAGACAGAATCACCGGTCCAGCAATGGATTAAAACCAAAAAAAAACCCAAAAACAAAAAATGGTAAACCCCAGACCCTTCAGCCACAGTTCCATAGTCTTATCAACCCTTCAAACCCCAAAGAAAAAAACCCTCTACACTTTTGATTGAGGTACCTGTCATTACCACTTATTTCATCACTGGCCTTGTCAGTAAGGTATTAGGCTGGGATTTTGGAGACCTGCGTTCAGTTTCCCAGTCTGTGCCAGACTCCCTGTGGGACCCTGGGCAAGCCACTTAATCTGTGTACCTTAGTTTGTCATGGGTAAAATGCAGACGGATCACTCGCACTCGCTTTTTTTTGTCCCTCTTGTCTATTTTGACTGCCTCTCACTATACATGTACCACAGTGAGCACACTGAGGCCTCAGTCTCTGTTATGGGCAAATAAAAGATATAATAATTCCAACAGTTGTCAGGCAGGTATACCCCCATCTTTGAGAAAGTGGGGAAACCTAGTTGTATCATGAAATTTGGTTGCCACCAGCAGGTAAAGAGAAGCCTGAATGGACCTTGCAACTCCAAAGCCATTCCCTCTGTCTCTCAGCCCCTTCCTCTTCCCCTCGTCTCTGCAGGGACCACCTCTTAGGATTGGCTTCCTCAACTAAGGGGCCCAGGCTGGGGAGCTCCCACCATGGCTCTGTCCTTGGAGCTCCTGACTAGTCAGCAGGTGGCACTGTTTCACAAACGGCAGCAGGGCTCAGAGACGTGGACAGAAGCACTGTTCCAAGCTAAGGTGCTGGCAGGGTAGGTTGCTGGTGTGATACAAGGTGAGCAGACAGGCCGACTGTTCTATTAACACCTCCTACACTGAGAAGCCTTCCAGAGTACTATCTATAATGGATGTGGCAGAAGCGATCGAGTTACTGGCACAGCAAGAAGATCTGTGCCTCGGTTCAGGTTATGAAGGCTCAGGGGTATAGGACAGGGAGTAGGCCTCCAGGAAACAGAAAGCGAACGGCACTTCCTCCTTAATACACAACACTGTGGCCCAGGCACCAGTGCTATTGTGCAAAAGATAAAAAGGGAACAAATGGTAAAGGTCTGGGATGGCTGAGAGGGAGGGAGTATACAATCTGCTGGGCTGGCAGGGAGCCTGAGGCAGTATACAATCTGCAAGAGGCCTGCAGAAAGCTTCTTCCCGTGCCTGTTAGGCTGTGGGAGATAGTTGTTCAATATGCCCAGTGCACATGGATTTCAACAGATCAGATCCCTTCAGAAGCAACAGTGAGGGGGAGAACATGTTTACAAACTTGCATGGGTAAATATTTCTGGAAGACTCTGTCGAACTGCCCCCCTGAAATGATACCATCAACCCAACTTGCAAATGGGAAAACTGATGCACAGAGCCCAAGTGCAGCTTCACAGCAAAGATGAGCTTGAAATTAAGACAGGTGATCCCAGCCCTGCCACCAATTTTCTTGGGTGGTACTGGCAATTTACTTAGCCTCTTTAACTTACATTTCTATTGCTACATGGGATAACTGTCCCTTTCTCTCATCCTTCATCTGATCTATTTAGACTACTTACACTGTAAACTCTTCTAGACAGGCATTGTCTCTTACCAGATGTGTGTACACTACTTACCATTTACAGTCCTCCATTGTGCTATAGCAATACAAACAAAGAAAAATACTTTGCCAAAATATGTGCAGCAAGTGCACAGCACAGGTAGGAACAGGCTCTGCTCTTCTGCTGCCCAGGCTTGACTGTTAGGTCTCCAGGAATTCTTCTTTCCTTGCTCTATACCCAGCCAGTAGGCTAAAAAGGCATCCTGGATAGCAACGCATTATCCCTCTGCCTCAAATCTCAGCCTCCTGCCCTGCCTGCACCCTCTAGCTGTTCAGCTACGGATGGGTTTATGGTACACAGGTGCCCGATATTAGTCTTTCACTCTGTTATGGTCATCAGGCATATACAGCTATCAGACCTTTCAAGGGTGAATCTGGGCATGCACTTCACAGAACACACACCGAGCTCCTGACACTCATGACAAATGTTTTTCAGGGCACAAGTGTACTAGAACAGGGGTGTCAAATTTACCCTGGGCTGGATCTGAACTGAAGGGCTCCCATCAGGGTTGATCTGTGGGGCCAGCAGCGCTTACAACAGGTCCAGGGGCTGTTGGGCAAGCAAGGACTGTAACTGCACAGACCCTACTTGGCCTCCTGCTACTGATTGTTAAAATCCATTAGGGCCCATGGACATGGCCCCATTGCCAACTCCCTCAACTCCTGATAGCCCAGCTGGCAGAATCCAGCACACAGGCCACACATTTTATGTCACTGTATTGGAGTGTCTTCTAGTTGCTGTATGCTCAGTTTAGGAGCCATGGTTTTTCCTTGTTGGAAAAGAGCCCAACCAACAAGCCCCAGTAAGGGCAGCCAGTTTCTCACCAGCATCAAACACAGCCAAATCCCCAAACCCTTTGTCACAAGATAACATTCATCCTCTGACCTCACTGCTCCCTGAGGTCAGCAGTCGTGCATTAATAAAGGGGTTTGACATTGGAACCATAGCATAGCTTGGGAACCAGACAGGAGATGCCTCTATTCTGGATCAACCCTGAACAGTAAGCAAATCATGAACCCTGGCTGAGCTAGCAGAAATCAAACTCACAGACAGAGCTCTGCTAAACCCCTGCAGCCAAGTTCCTGGAAAGGTTTGTAGTATAAGCCACAGGAGTCAGAAACACTTTCCAAGACAAAAATTCAGCCATGAGGCCACCAGGTGCAAGGTCTGTCAGATACCAGCTGTGCACTCCAATTGTGCTGGTCATCCTAGACAGGATTGGCAGTGCTGGGGTACCAACGTCCCCAAAATTACACAAGGCCCGCCTCAGTGAGAGGGTGCAAGATAGCTACATACTGGAAGAGCTCCTCCAAGGACTTCGATACGTGGACAAACAGGAAGGCACCTAAATGCGCCTCTAAAAGGTGCAGAAGCAAGGAGATGGGAAGTGCAGGGTAAAAGATAGAAATAACAGCAGAGGGACACTAGACAGGAGACAAGGAGGAGAGGCTGGACAGAGCAGGTGAGAAGGGAACAGAGAAGGATTTAGAGTGTTTAAGGGTATAAGTCACCATCTCATCTACATTGCTATGTACCACACAGCGCATCCTCCCATCCAGTCACTCCAGACTGGGAGGGGGCACACAGGAGCAGAACTTTTTTACCTGATCTGTTTATCAGCCATTTAATTCAGACTTGATCCTGTTAAAAATCGACTTGTTCCTTCAGAATGAATGTGCCTTCACTGCTTTCTTTTTCAGTCACCGCCTCAATCCTAACAAAGGTTGGCTTTGGTTTTCCTGAGAAGAAACACAAATAAAAAATAATAATTTAAAAAAAATGAAAAGGACATCATAGGAGATGAGACTGAGAACAAGGAAATGCGATACCCAAAGCCTGAACCATAGCAGGGATGGGTCCAGTGTATGCCAGGGCCTACCCCATCCCTGATTAAAGTGAGCCTGGCCTATTATAGAGCAGCCATCTCACACTAGGGTGTGGGATCATGTTTTGTGCCCATAAAGCTAGTTTGCTGCAGGTCAGTGATTCAGTCATAGGGACTGCTCACAAACTATAGGCAGGACCTGTTTACTCAGAGAGGAAGGAAGGCGAGTCACTCTCCTTTTTCACTCTTATTTTGAAGGCACAAGTTTCCCAAGTGATTTCCTTTCTGCCACATGCAGAAGAAAAAAAAAGTCACAAGACTAAAGAATCATCACATCTGCCCACCCACCATATGGCTTTGAGAGGGCTGCCAAGGGCACCAAGCTGTAGCAACGCAGGAGGAATGGAGGGCAGTGAAACTAAGCCAGCACCCTGCACAGCTTAATGGGACAGCAATATATTTGGCAGCTGCATTTTCACACCCTTTGGTTACCCAGACCTGGAAGAGACCTCCTGGCTCATCAGTTGCAGCCCCTTGCTACTGCAGGTGACCATGTCGTAGGACCCCTTTCACAAACTGACCCAACTCCACCTTGAAACCAATCAGATGTATTCAAGTTTCCAGCCTACATTTATCCATGGCCAATTTTAGCCCCATCCATTCTAGTGCCCATTATGTTCTTAAGCTTAAATAGCTCTTCTCTCTCCTCTCGGTTCACCCTTCCCACCCTCAAATGCATTTAGGAAGGGCAAATCACATCTCAGCAAAATGAAAGCTGAAGTCAAGCTCCTTTAACCTCCTCCCATAAGTCAGGATGAACTGGGAAATGGACAGCTTTGCAGCCCTTCTTCTGCACCTATTCCAGCTTGAACTGGTCTCCCTTGAATTGGATGGCCAGATGGCATGCAGTAAGGGTGTCAAAGATCCAGTCTGCTAAACCCTATTATTCTGCCTATAGTGTTACCTCTGGGTCTCAGGCTGGACCTACACACCACATCCTCCCTGTAGGGCCAGTTCATGCATCAGATTTAGCCCACAGACCAGCCCGGCACCCCTCATCTGGCACACAGAGCCAAAGCAGTTTGATATTCCTGGTATACAGTATCCCAGAGGTCTCAGAAGTATCTCATGCCATGGCATGCATGTCTCCCTGGCTCTGCTAGAAATGCCTCACACAACACATCCTTGTGTCACACATTTGCCCTTTTCTATATTCTAAGCCCATTGACAGTTCAGTCATTCCCTCCCAAGCATAAAAGTCTTGTCCTTCCCAACTTAGCCCCTTTGCTAAGCAGGCAGAGAGCTTTTCAAGTCTGGCACCCAAAAGCTAGTGGTCACTTCTGATATGTTTGGATCCAGTTGCTTGTTCATGAGTTATGAACTAGAGCCATGGCTAATTTTGCATGCAATCCGAGACCCCAGTCAGTATGGGCCAGCCACTCAACAGCCATGGTGCACCAACTGTGGCATCTTCTGGACCAATGGCTGACCCAGATGGCCTCAGGTCCTAATACTATTATTTTGCTATACAAGAAAGCTTCACTGACCAGATCTACATAACCAGGTTAGTTGTGCCTCTCCCCTCCCAGCTCCACTGTGCAGCAGGGCATCCCAGAGTGCATTGCCAAAAACGCAGGTCATCAAAGGACTCTACCCCTGCTGAGGCCTTATGGGAGAGAAATTTTTCTAAAATGCACGGACATAAACACAACAAGGCACAAACACAACATGGTGGGGATAAATGAACAAAGAAGGGATACCAGGTTGAGGAAAGAGTTAATGCACATCCACCACAACTACATTTGTTGCAAGCAGGTCAGATGAGACTCTGAAGCTGGTTAAGAAAATCCACAAGTAAATACGTAATTTAAGATGGGACTTAAGGCTGGAAACCAAATGAGAAAGATCCAACAATACTCCAGCTGGGACAGCAGAACACTTGCATGAGCAGTCAAAGCAACAAGCTCCATTCAAATCCCCATAACACCAGATAAAAGTAAGTACTAGATACAGACCCTGAGGAATGCCAGTTTCTTTTTACTTGCAGAACAGGGGTAGCACAGGAGACAGCAGCATGTACACACACCAGTGAGGTACCCCGGCCCCCATCTCATTATTCACACTGGCTTCAGGGACTCCTTTTGAACAAAATATTAGTGCACCTAGTGTTGCACGGGAAGTTGCAGAGCTGGCATTGTGCTTTACCCCAGCACTCCCAAGAGTATTAAACCAAAAAACAACAACAAAAATCCCACCCCCCTCCCATAGTCTTAATTTCTCACTTCATTCTATTGCTCCATGAGAGCAGATGGTACCTGGTTGCCATCTGGTAACTCAGTGCCTCTCAGCTGCCTCACTTCAGTTGCTTGGTGAGTGGCAATGCAAAAATATTTAGAGAAAAAAAGCCACTTGCCCTCTGGCTTGGCAATGAGATAATATTGATCCTGGGCCCTCCAACTGGATTCTTCAACCCACACTGAAAAGTTGGATGTTCCATAAGGTGATGCAGAAGGCTAACAGCTTTTTATTTCAGGGTACAGCAGGGTGACAAACAGTGTTCACAATAAACGAGGGGCACATACAACTGCAGAGAGCTACAGTACAAAGCAGCACTGTGCAGGATCCCACACACTGCTCTGCTAAGGTGGCTCACCTGCCTCTTTCCTCTATTTGTACAAAAGGAATGAGGTGAGATGTACACGTTGCTTGGGCAGACAGATCCAATACAGTCACAGAAACTGAGGAAGGACACAGTGTATCATCTGCATAGCCATGTACGTGGGCTACGTTGGGCTCATGGGTGGGTCCAGGATTTAGAAAAGTGGGTGGGACATGGGAGAAAGTGGAAGAGCCAGCAGGGAGCAAGACCAGGAAGAGAGAATGCATCTACTGTCGTCACTGTTTTTTGCCAAGCCCATCACAGCCCACAGCTACAGCCCCTGGGTTGGTGCAGGATACCCAATAGGACTGAGCAGGGGCAGGAAAGAGGGATCTATTCACTGCTGCCAGTGTCCCTGGCTGAGCCCAGCTCCCTGCACAGCCACTCCCTATAGCTGGAGCCCCCAGGTTGAGAGGAGACCCCAAGGGGACCCATTCACCACTGTACTTTGATGAACCAGGCATGGGGGAGCCCCAGAGCTGCTCCTGCCCCACTTCAGCTGTGGGCTGCAGGAAGCACCTGCACAGGTGTTGGGTGCAACCAGGGACAGGAGCAGGGGTGGGCAAGTCCCTCTTCACTGCTCTCTGGCCCACCCCCTCCCCATGTCCCTTGCTGCCCCAGAGACTTTGACCATGCCTTAAACCCCAACTCGTCATAGCCCTGCTGGCTCTCCCACCCTCCCCTGTGTCCCACGCTGGCCAGGACCAGCGGGAGAAAGAGGGAAACTCACCCCACTCTGCCCAAAGAACAGAAATAGCCCTCTATAGCTGGCACTGAGTCAGAGAGAGCCTGGGGGAATCATGCTAACTCCCTCACAGCCACCCCCCATGCCTCCTCCACCCGCACGCTACCCCATGAAGAGCCAGGACTGTTCTCCCTACACTGGCAGTAAGAATCAAAGGGGGTGCAACCGCACCACTGCACCTGCCCTGGATCCACCCCTGCCTGGGCCTCCAGATACATTTTCGCTGGTCATCCTAAACTCAGACACTGAGAGAGACCGGCACACTGACCCACAGAGAAATGAGAGTCCTAGTTCACTCTCACCCTCACCTTACTGGCCTGCATCCGATTTGTGGCCCCCTCTTCCACCAGTCTCTTCCTCAAAAGGAGTTAGTGAATGGCAGATGGGAATACTTCAGAATCTCAGACAGACAAAGGTACAGACATGCCTGGACAATTGTCTAGCTAAAGAGCAGTTCATTTCAGTTTAACTTAAACCTGATTTCTAATCAACCTAACCCAAAATAAGAGCATCCACACACAATGGGGTTTGCAGAGTCCTCTCTAGCATTAAACTGCTAGAGCTCTCACATACACAAGCCCCATACCATGAAGACTCACTTATTACCAGGGTTCCTGGTTTTCTCCGATATAAAAAACCCCCAATTTTCAGATTTAAAAAAAGTCACCCAAAATCCACATTTTTCCATGTTTAAAATGAAACAATAGATATGTTTCATTTAAAACATGGAAAAAATGCAGATTCTGGGTTACTTTTTTTCATCCGAAAATTGGGTGGGGTTTTAACATCAGAGAAGGATTTAAAGGATCTCTGCTTATTACAGTGACACTGAATTAAAAGTTTGTTCAGAGAGGCAGGAGCACTTGCAGGCTACAGTCTGCTTTGTCTGATGCAACAAATGGGCTAGCAGACAGCAAGGGTACTACATGGAAAGAAATAAAGTCATTTAAATACCACGAATAGTAGGGAAAGGAGGAAGAAGAGGGATCTCCATTGAGCAAGGCGATTACTGATGGTGCAAGACTGGCAAACACCATACAGAGAGTTCTCCTCCTGCTTGGTTTCCTGACACACAGGCATTAGGCTTGCAAGCTTTCTTTTACGGAGAGCAGGGATTTTCCACAAGCCCCAGTCCCACATCTGATGCATGCTGGTGTGCCACGGCACATTCTGGACAAGCCCAGCATACGCTGGGAAAGAGCGCATCATGGAAGACATGGTAAATATTTACTGATCTGCCCAACAGGGAGAAACACACAAGACAGGTCACCACATGGTTACTGATCTCCAGCATACTGAGGAAGACATGAGGACACTCCTGAGGGTAGAGCACAGGACTGGATTCAGGAAGCCTGGGTTGACATATTATTGAGCAGAGCTGGGAAATATAGCCTCACTGCAGCTCCACTTCCTTGGAGTGGGACTGAGGAGACCTCCTTTTAGGGCTGTACAAAACTTCGGTGGCCATTTAGTTTCAGAGATGCTACTGAAACACCAAATCCAAAACAAA